AGTTGAACACTGCACATTGTCAACAAAAATGTGTTCCAGCGTTGCTCGGGGTTATTGATAGTACAAACATTTGCATGTTAGTTGAGTGACCTTACAGGCAACGTCTTCCTGCCTGACTATCGTCACAACTTTTCTACCACCCTTCTTATGCAAAAATAGCTTGTTAAAATCCAACGAAGAGATAGCCTTCTGATATTCACCTTTGCCATTTTCTGCTAAAAGTTCCACTAGAGCAGAAACATCTTCCCCCTACTCTGGCCAATCCTCCAGCTGCACCAGCACTGCAGACCACTTGGCAGCATGGAAGACGCAAGTAGATGCTGAGGTCGCTGCACTCCAGCCTGGGTGGGCCCCAGGTCAACCAGCTTCAGGAAATATGTCCGAGCACTGGCTACCAAAAGCAAAGAGTTGATACACTTTTGGAGGCTTCAAGAACATTGATAGAGCCTTCAACAATATTCTTCACAGATCTCTACAAGAATTCAACATGTTTACTGAGTTGAAGTTAGATTTCAGGAGGCAGACAAAGTGCATGGTAACAGCAGAGTGGGAACATGGCAATTCATGGCTAAGACCAGTGGCAAAATTGAAGCCATAGCAATGAGCAAGATTGTGCAAGCAAAGTGCAAGTTAGTGGATAATAATTATGCTCTTGAGCTCCCCACAAAAATTCCTGTCCTGCTCACCTCTCCTGCTGGAGAGGCTCTTACTGCTCATCATTCAAGTTATTGAGGACTGTACAAGCTTGACATTGGACCAGCAGACCAAGAGCATGCATTGAAGGTGATCTCATATGAAGATGTGGTGAGTTTTCATGCTCAAGGCATATGGCAAGCTGGAGTTATGGGATGGTTGTTTTCTCGTTGCACGGTGGTGTATCTTCTATGCCTTAAATCTAAAGTGTTGCATTTCTCAGGCAAGAGGGCAGCACTTGAAACTTAGGTGTGATGGAGGTGGCAAGTACATATCAGGTGAATTTGCCAAGAGGCTGGCATTCTTCAAAAATTCACAGCTGTGTATTCTACGGTTGTGGTGAGAGGAAGAATTACACTCTAGGAAAGCAAACAAGCTATACTACATGTTAGTGGCTTAGTTGACGCTATTCAAGCCAACTATGTCCAAAATTGGTTACCTACCACTGCTGTGGACGGACATACCCTGAGGAGGCTGGATTGGCTTGGTTTCACACTTGTGCATCTTTGGCTGTGAAGCTTGGGCCAGATGAAAATAGCTTGATGCTAAGAGTGTTGAGGGTAAATTCTTGGGTTATAGACTGCCTGGCGTGGAGACAAGTGATGGCAAGTCTCCACATTAGCAAACAAGCCAAGTCATCTATCCAAGACACCAAACACCAAGTGTCACACTCATACCGTTATGTACATAACCATACTGCTGTGGTTGTGTTCCCCATGAATGTTGGGAGGTTGTGGGCATGGAAGTCTAGTATGGGAAAGAAGAGTTATAGCCACATATAGGCAGGATAGTTGTATATAACATGTGGCAGGGTCTCTGTTCCTATCTTGCATAGGGGGTAGAGATGGGCATCTTTGGGTGTGACTGGCATTTGTTTTTGGCCTAGTTCTATATGAAGTGAGTGCATGCTCATTTAGTATTTTGCAAGGATGTGCCTGGTGGTGTAGCTCGTGGCATCATGGATGCTGGGGCTGATGATTCTCCCAGGGTTGATGGTAGTTTTGGAAGCAGGAGTTTTTATTAGAGCGTGCCTACCAGCCTTTAAACACAAAGTTGATCCATGCTAAGGACTAGTTGGAACTTTGTACTATAAGATAAAATTTATATGACAATTGTGTCTCTCACACTATGTGAGGATTAACTTGTATTGACTTTCAGCAATCCTTCCACCATCCTTTGCTCTTTTTGGCATCGAGCTGGATCAAGTCTTTGATAGCTGCTTAAGCCCAGCAGTTGAATGTGTCTCTCCACATAAAGAGTATGAACTGCATGGTGCACTTGGAAGAAGTCCAATCTCCATGCATAGCAAGCCATAGGGTGCTCTTTGTTTGATGCCAAAGTCATTGGTGTTTGTTGATCTTTTATGCATCCCACCGGTAGATGGCTACTTGGCAGAGCACAACCCACTCCACTATCAAGGATAGGTGGTTTTGCAAGTTACCACTTATAAGTACCTTAGTTATCACTTCCACCATTAGCAAATATGGACCACTAAAGTAGTACAACATGAAGCTGTAGTCGAATGGGCATATTATAGCTTGTTGAACTTAGCTTGCTTTCGAGCTGAAGATCATAATTTTTTTTTTGGTTAAGTTGATCTCAAGACCTATGTCCTGGTAGAATTCCTTGAGGGCCTCCAATTGCCATCACATCTTTTTTGTTGTAGCAAGGAGTAGCAAGTCATCCACATAGAGCATGAGATTGGGTGGTGGAAAGCTCACACTCAGCCACAAGGCTTTCCAATGTGTCAATATAGATGCCAATATCAGGGAGAGTGGGCATCCTTGCTTGACACCAGTGTTGGAAGGGACTGTTGCTTGTCTAGTGAGCTCGGCTTGAATGTAGGTGTAAAGGTGCTTTATTGCATTGACAATGTCAGCTGGTGCACTGAGTTCCCTTAGTCATTGGAAAAGGAAGAAGTCCTTTTTAAAATCCATAAAGCCATAGAGGAGCTTGCCACCTTTTGCACAGGAGTGATCCAGCAGGATTCAAAATGTAATCAGGTGGTTTGTGTAGCTTCTGCATGGGCAAAAGCCAATCTGACCCCCCCATATTAGATGTGTTTTCAGCATCTAGGCATATAGCTTGGAGAAGATGCATGAAAGTCCTTCATTTGTTCATCATTGAAACACTTAATATATTTTCTTTTCTTCTTTTTGCAAAGTTGCCAAACAATGTGTCACACCCTACTACCCCCAAGATGTAACTCTTGTCATTTGGTGGCGCTGCAGAGATCAAGTTGGCGTTATGCTTAGCATCCATTGTTGCAGAAAAACCACTGATAGATATTGTTTTCTCTTCTGTCCCTTCTTCATTCATCAAGTGCTACAAAGCATTCTACATCCCACCAGCGAGCCTTTGAGTACCTGGTAGCCTATTTGACCTTGCATAGGCCAAAAACATCTATGGCTGCCGTGACAAAGGCCTAGACCAAGTGTGCTGTATGTTGGTCCAGCATAGGCATGTTCTATAGCTAAGACTCTCAAAAAAATTCTTGAAACTTTGGGATGTCCTGCAAGTGGAGATGGAAGTTTGGAGACATGAGGTGGACTTGTAGTGTTGCCTTGGAATAGTAGTGAGATGCCAAGTGGGTGGTGGTTTGAAATCTTGGAATCTGGAAAGTCCTAGAGGTGGTAGTCAACCATAGTGTCAGTTGCAGCTTGCGAGATAAGAGCATAGTCGTTGGTGTTGACACTATTCCACATCATGCACCTATGGTAGGCCAATGTTCAGTGTCATTCACAATGAGCAGCTGCATTACCATGCAAAAGTTGAGAAGTTTGATGCCATATGTTGCTTGGTGCTTTGGTCAGGTCACCTTTTTGCTTGACCAGAGTCTTGCTTGATCCTGTACACATGTTAAAGTCCCCAAGCATTGCAATTGTGGCTTGTGTGTGGCACTGTTCGATCATGTGGGCCAGATGGTTGAAGGGGTGACTTTCATTGCCAAGAAGTAGCAGCTAACCACAATTAATTTTTAGGTGGCATTCAATTGATGCTTGAGTATATTGAAGGTCATGGAAGACTTTCTGGACTAATTGGTGTATAGCTTGTTAGACATATATGCAAATCCTGGTGTTGGACTCTCCCTCATATTTGCTCATTTTGCTCAACTTACTGCTGTGATCCATTATCAGCCCTTGGACATTTCATGCTCCAATTTAGATTCGCATGTCCTGATTGAGTGGGGGCACTCCCTAGATGTGTGCTCTATTTCCTTTGTGAAGCTGTCACCTATTAGCTACTCCAATAATATAGCAATTTAAAAGTGACTATATGCATAATATTTTTGCATGCAACTCAAAACAAAAAATATATGTGCACATGTGTAAATATATAATGCTCCTATACACAATCACATATGCTAATCTACTTTATTTTCCTCAAGATGTAAATTTTCCTTTAATTTGTTTAACAAAATTTATTTGTTTTTATTCTTTTCCATTTTGTAGCAATGAGCAAATAGAAGAAGCAATAAAGCAAGATTTTCATACTCAAAGTAAGTGGAAGCAATTAGGCAAAATGTGGCAACATCAGTTTTTGCCTTTTACAAGGTGAAAATAGATTTGTAGATTGGAAAACTACCTACCTTTTCAGATCCAATAACATAAATATTTTGCTCTAGTTTGTTCTAGTCCAAAGTTTCCCCAACAATATTTGGGGATAATGATACTTTGTAGACTGGATAAGAACACAAAGTCGGCTGCTAACAAATTAACTACTAAATCTCTAACTTGAACTCCCATGCTCCTCAGTCAACCATCTTATAAAAGCAAAACTGTCCGTTGCTGAAAATTTTCCTGGTAGGCTTTTGCTTTTTGCTTTTTTGTACCAACAAATAATATCTCAGAACCAAGAGTTTCAAAGCATCGAGATGCCCGTATGGCTGCCCTTCTGAACGGACGAAGGATACGAACACGATCGTTCTCAAATAGTAGTTGTACTGTCTTCAATGTACAAACAAGTTTTCATGTTTTAAAGTGCCATGATGGAGTTCTTCTTCCTGGTAGCAAAATTTGACTCCTCTAAACTTCAGGACCGAGATGTGGCTGTTTTATATAGTTCTTCTGACCTTATGGGAACTTTTCTGGTCGACATAGAGTGGTTGTAAGTGTTGGGAGGCAGGCGTTGGAAAATTTATTGCGAAAGCTACCAGGAGACTGCTACGTTACGGATTTTTTTCCCCTGGCTGGTCTTCATTTGTGTGAAGCTGAATTTCGATCCTTGGACACTCTAGACTGGCACACTCAAGGAAGGCTACAGTCTCTTAGGTAATCTCCCAGAGATGGACGATTGATTATAGGAGAGAACAAAACTTCCACTTTCAACATTTAGCTTGAAGAGAAAAGAAGAAAAAATTATCCACCTCCCAGAGTGAACAAAAAAAAAAAAATCCTCGAGTCTGGTAAGCAGCTGCTTCTAGTTATGTTACAAAATGGACATACTTAGCTGCAGAACCTCTCTCTTGGTTTTTCTCTGACTCGATCGATCTTCTTTCGACAGCTTTTCTCGCTGCTGCTCCAGGCCCGGGCACAAACCTCAGTTTATCTGTGCTTTCCACCCCGCTCCCCCCCAGGTATTAAGAAAGTTTTTTAATTCCCATCTTTCGTGTCTCTGGATCGATCGCTACCCTGGACCTCCACCGAGAATTTTCTTGAGCCCAGCCTTTTGTTCCAGCGATAGCCTGGGTGGAAACCTTATGTCGAATCTAATCTTGAGAACTCCCTTCTTCCCTGGCTCCTTTGCAATCGGCATTCCTTCCTTGTGTACCACCTTCTCGTAACCCGGGTGAATTATATCTGTGATTGGTACGCTGAGAACTCTCCCGTCTAGAGTGTGGATGACTGCCGTGTATCCCGTAAGTGACTCGGAGAGTGAGATTCGCTTCACCACTATGAGGTCGTTCCCATCGCGCTTGAAAACTTCGTGAGGTCTCTCGTCGATGACGAACACAAGGTCTGCCGGAACAACGTTTGGTTGTTCGTTGCCTTTCTCTGGGAAGGTGATCCTCGTCCCTTTTTTCCACCCGGGCTTTACATCGATCGTCAGTATCTCTTCTATGGGAGCAATCTTCCTGCAAGGCAAAGCGAGAAAGTCTCAAAAACTCTTTTTTCTTCTTCTTGAGAACAACTTACCCAGTAGAATCGACAACGTTTCTCGAGATCTTCATTTTCCTGGTGGAGCCATTGTAGAGCTCATCGAGCGTGCACTGGAGCTTGTTCTCCACCGGCGGAGCCTTGCGGCTGGAAGTGGCTCCCTCGGCACCAAACGATCGGAAAGAATTCTCGGTGCCTCCAAATCCTCCAAACATTCCATCAAAGGGGCTGCGACCACCGCCAGCGCGGCCACCCATGGATCCAAACGGGCTGGAACTCCCAAAAAACTCGGCAAATATGTCCTCGGCGTTCCTGGGATTGAATCTAAAGCTTCCATTCCCTTGCTGCGGTATTTGCCCCTTCAATCCCTCCTCTCCATACTGATCATACACTTGACGCTTTTGAGGATCGCTAAGAACCTTGATAAGAACAGGGAACAAAGCAAACAAAAAGAAAAGGAAAACTAGTGTAAATTGAGAGAATTGAGAAGATCTGGCCTTACCTCGTAAGCCTCGGAGATCTGCTTGAACTTGGCCTCGGCCTCCTTCTTGTTGGTGGGGTTCTTGTCCGGATGCCATTTCATGGCCAGGCGGCGGTAAGCCTTCTTAAGATCGTCGTCGCTCGCATTCTTCCCGACCTTGAGGACGCTGTAGTAATCCATTGATGGAAGAGGCGGCCGAGGGCTGGCGATCGATCACAGCTCTCGCATTCTCTGGTTCCTCTCTGTGCCCGCAGCCATGGATTTGCAAACCCTACCCAGAGGTCCACCTAGGGTTCCAACACAAACGGAATTGCTGTTTTACCTTTTGTTTTTTCCATTTTAGGAAGTCATTTCAAAATTAATTTCTGACAATTACACTTTAGTTATTTAGTAATAAAATTATGTTTATATTGCGAATATCAGATTAATAAATCAAGAGATAAAGAAGTAATTATTATTATTGCATTTTTTTTAACCATGAAACATCACATAACTTCATATATTTCGTAATTACAAATGAAGAAGAAGGTTGAAAATTAAAGAATGATTTAGAAAGAATGAAAATCTAACAAATTTAATTGGTACATAAGCAATAATTTTCAAATTGTCTTTAAAATTACTGAATTCTTTATCATTTAAACTAATAAACATAATTTTCCAAGAGACTTTATCTTCAAACACTCTTCAAGAATTAAAACCACATCATTCTTAAACACACTAGTTTTATGTTTCATGGAAGGTGTTGCAAAATTTTGTATAAATAATTTATGAAATGAAATAAATGAAATATTGATGTAAGAAGCACATTTTACATTAGCAAAACTAACAGCACACTAAAAAATAAAGTAGCACTATAGGCATATCTTACATAAAGAATAGTAGTAACATCAACATAATCACATCTTATATTTGTGAGTTATAGATATGGATTTCATTGTAGACTTAAATAATGAACACTATGGAGTAGCATTTATAAATCATAATAACACAGTCCTTTGATACCTTATACATATATACACACCACACGATATACATATACGTATATATATATATATATATATATATATATATATATATATATATATATATATATATATATATATATATATATATATATATATATATATATATATATATATATATATATATATATATATATATATATATATATATATATATATATATATATATATATATATATATATATATATACATGTATACACATGTATATACATGTATATATATATATGTGTGTGTGTGTGTGAGGGCCAAATGTACGATTACAATGCCATATACTAATATTAGCGTAGTGGGATTTTAGTAGCCGTCGGATTGATTTCAATCCAGAGCACTCGCTCTTGTATATAAGCTAGGGTTTTTGGGCTAATTGATATATATATTTTTTATATTCCCTTTCCATATTCTAAGCACTCACATTGGTGGAGATAAAGGGCAACTTCCACCAATAAAGGACAACTTTCATTGTCCCTGAGAAGTGTTTGAATTTAGGATTTTGGGTTTAGATTTAGCTTTTGCATCGTCTAGATTTAACTTTTTCCATTTCCTTTCTTTTGTTCTTTCCTTTCAGGATTTTAGTTTAAATCTAGCTTTTCAATTGTCTAGACCTCCCTTTCCCTTTAGTTTTTTCTCATTTCCCTTCTTTTGCTCTTTCCTTTTCATTTATCTTCATGGCAGAGTAATAATGTCCTCCTTTGAATCTAGAGTAGTAGTTAGTGCAATTGCTTGATGCCATGTAATTGCAATTGAACAACCAAACTTAGTTGATAGCAGCATTCATGGCACGTGGTACAACTTCTCATGCTCTTGGTGCCAATCCTTGCGTTTGGCCGGAGATCTTTCATAGGAATCCTAGGGATGATGTGTACCATTGGTTCAATCACTTCACAGTGATTGCCACATATCATTCTTAAGATGATGCTCAATGTTTGCGTGAGTTTTCCACGTGTCTCCAAAGGACAGCATTGTAGTGGTACAATGGTTTGAGTGCAGCCACCTGTGGGGATTAAAGTGTTCTCCTAGATGTCTTCAAACGTGCATTCAGACATGCCAATGATTATGAGAATGCCTTCCAACAATTGCATCGTCTTCGTCAAGGGCCATTTGAGTCGGTGATGCATAAATTGCTTTGTATTGTGAAATTGTGAATGGCTCATTAAATCAGTAATAGTGAGTGGCAAGCTCCAACATCTCGTCGCAACATTCAGTGCTTCCTCGGAATTGCAAACTTCTACCGCAAATTCATCAAGAATTATTCGAAGATCGTACTTCCACTCACCCAGCTCACTCATCTCAACAAAAATTTCAAGTGGTCTTCTGAAGCTGAAGTGCCCTTCTAGAAGCTGAATAAAGTGTTCACCTCTGCTCCTATCATTTCCTTTATCAACTTGGTAAAACAATTCTTCATTGAAGCAGATGCCTCTGATTTTGCTCTTAGATCCGTCCTCTCCCAGTTTGGCAAAGAGAACCTCCTCCATCCAGTTGCCTTCCATTCAAGAAAGTTCCTTGCTCCCGAAATCAATTACGAGATTCATGATAAAGAACTTCTCTTGATTGTGGAGTCTTTTGAAGAATGGCGACACTTCTAGTTGTGGTCTATAACGATCACAAGAATCTCACTTATTTTCAGTCAGCTTGTGTCCTCAATTGGCTCTAAGCTCGTTGGTCCCAAGTCCTCTCACACTTCGACTTCATCATCACTTACCGGCCAGGTTCCCAACAAGGTAAGCCTGATGCCCTCTCTTGGCACTCCTATCCCTTCCAAGGGTGATCCCGAATTTGATCAACAACAACAACTCCTCATGGGCCCTGAATGTCTGAAGATCCTGGAAGCAATACTCTACCCTACTCCAGTGGATACAAGTATCATTGATTCTGTTCTGCAACCTTACCATTGGATTCTTTGGCACAAGACATCTTCAACCAGTTGAATGGAGGTTCTCCTTCAAGTTTTGCTGCCAGATGCGATTACGATCAATTTTCAACTCATGATGGCTTGATCTATTGGAACAACCTCCTCTACATCCCTGCCACCAACCCAAGACTCCTCGTTCTCCAATCCTGTCATGACACTCCAGTATCTGGCCATTTTGGTACACACAAGACCGTGGAATCACCTGCAATTGTTCCAAGAAACTGCGACATCTCCTGTATGGCCTCCTCCAGCCACTTCCAATTCCAGCTGCTCTTGAAAATCCATCTCTATGGACTTCATCACCAACCTTCCACCATCCAATGGTTTCGATGCCATTCTTGTGGTCGTGGATCACTTCACCAAGATAGCACACTTCCTTCCATGCACCAAGATGATCACCAATGAAGAAGCAGTTCAACTCCTCCTTAGAGAAGTTTTCAAACTTCACAGGTTTCCCGATGATATTGTAAGTGATTGTGGTCCCCAGTTCATCACCAAGTTCTGGAAGCACTTCATGGAACTCCTGAAGATAAAATGCAACTTATCTTTGGGATATCATCCTCAATTTGATGGGCAATTGGAATGAACAATTCAGACTGTCAAGCAATATCTCTAGTGCTTCATCAACTACCAGCAAGATGATTGGACACAACTCCTACCATTTGCTGAGTTCTCCTACAACAACATGGTCCACACATCCATGAAACAAACACCATTTTTCTCTCTTCAAGGCTACCATTTGCAATGAATATTCCAAGAAACCAGTACTACACCAGCCAATCCCTATGCGGAAGACTGCTCGACTCAACTTCAATGCACTCATCATGATCTGAAGCAACATTTGCTTGAGGCACAAGAACGTCACAAAATTGCCTCCAATTGACATTGCATACTGGCCACAGAGTTCAAGGTTGGTGATCAAGTTTGGTTATTATGACGCAATATCCAGACTACTCGTCCCTTCGGTAAATTTGACTACCAACGCCTTGGTCCCTTTTGCATCTCCGCTCGCATCCATGAGGTCACATACAAGCTGGATCATCCTCTGACTATGCACCTACATCCTGTCTTTCACATTTCCCTACTAGAACCGTATGTCGCTAATGACATTCCAGGTCGCATCATTCCCGCAGCTCTAGAGATCCAGATTGATGGTTATTCAAAGTACAAAGTTGCCAAAATCCTGGACTCCAAGATCCTCTGACAGCAGCTGTACTTCCTCGTCGACTGGGTTGGCTACTCACCAAGCGATCGAACATGGAAACCTTTGAAAAATTTAACAAACTCTCCAGGTAAAATCTCTGACTTCCACAGGTGATATCCACTCAAGCCCAGTCCAATGACTTGTGGAACTCGTCATGGAAAAGGGGGGATGGTACACAAAACATTCCTAAGAATATTCCCTGTAAGATTCCAGGAATATTCCAGGTGTGCCAAAGAAGCTTCTTCAGCAAGTTCCAAGAAGCACCCCAAAATCCTTCACAAAGAAGTTTCCCCAAAATAGCCAGTGACCAAGTTCAACATACTATCTTCATTCCCGATTTAGTAAGTTCGTACTCATACCTGATTTAGCAATGTCCAGAACCTTCTAGAGCACGCTAAGGACAACTATATAAGGAGAGTTGCACCCAGGGTTTTGGCATTGCTACTCGCTCTGATACCAAATTGTAAGTCACAAAATTATCCGAAGCACCTATGTCAATAAAGATCTTAACAAAGTTACCTTCAAGCTTCCCTCGGAGGGCTAGTAGATGTCGCAAACGACTCTCTACCAAAGTTGCTCATGTAATAAGGCCAATTTTGGGCTTAGTCTTCTAGTCTCCAGTATAGGGTCTTCCTTCTTATACTGGATCTTGTTCTTGTACTTCTTGCTGCTCATAATCCTGTTCCTTTTCATATTCTTGTTTAGTCATGGGCATCTTGCTGTCTTGAATACATCCATATTCCCGCTCCCTCTATCTAGGCCCGTGACGCCAAGCGGTCAAGGCAGATTGTCAGAACCCCACTGGTCTCTACCATTCTCTTGAAGTACCTCAGTAGAAGTGGGATAGTATCTCAATGGATTTTGTAATTGGATTGCCCACCACTCCACGTGGAAATGATGTTATCTAGGTTGTTGTGGATCGATTGGCGAAAATGGCACACTTCTTCTCTGTGAAGATGATGGCTAAAGACTTCTGATCTTGCTCAGGTGTTTGTGAGAGAGCTCTTCTGTCTATATGGCTTGCCTCAGCCAATATTATTAGTGATCGTGATCCAGAGTTTACTTCGAAGTTTTGGCAGGTAGTATTCATGAAGTTAGAGACGAAGTTGAGCATAAGTAATGGTGAGCATCCACAATTTGATGGGCATATGGAATGA